CATTTTTATGTAAGGAAACTGGAAAATAAACCTAAATAAAACCCGGCACACCCTTCCTATGTGCAGTTAAGATTTTTAAAAATTATGTATTGATTTGTCTGCAATATTTTGTCACAATCTCAAAAAAAGATTAATTCAATTTTATGACTCAGTAGAAAAAAAAGTAATTGAAATTTCTTTTGGATTTCCCTTTTGTAAAAATATAAATAATAGAAATGCTAACAAATGCAACATATAGAGTATCTAGCTATATTAGTTTACAAGCACAAATTAACAATTACATAAACAAGTCCCAGAAAGTTGGTCAATAAAAATAATGAATCATGAATTTACTAATGCTAATAATATTTTCATTGAACCAATTAAAATGCACAGCAGGCTAGGGAAAGATAAAGTAGAACTCCACTCTGCAATAACTCTGTTCACTCACAGTTTTATTGCAGGTAGCCTAACTAACCATGCAGTTTGACATACAACTACAGTTTGTGAGATAGGAAAAAAGAGGCAAAGATTACTTCAACCATCTTGTTGTGACAAATGAAAATTCTAAGCTGTGAAGTCTCATTGTTTCGATGTAAAATGCAAGAGTCCCATGTAGACTAAACTATAGTAAAAATAGTAAATCAGTTATTTCACATAGTCAGCACAATCTGCTGGTCTGTTCTGTAAGAGATTCTGTTCTTTGGAAAAAGAACAGGAGTACTTGTGGCACCTTAGAGACTAACAAATTTATTTGAGCATAAGCTTTCATGAGCTACGATGAAGTGAGCTGTAGCTCATGAAAGCTTATGCTCAAATAAATTTGTTAGTCTCTAAGGTGCCACAAGTACTCCTGTTCTTTTTGCGGATACAGACTAACACGGCTGCTACTCTGAAACCTGTACTTTGGAACTTTGTGTTTTCCCCCAGATACTCTGCTGTTCTTGCATGTGATCTCTCAAATGTGCTGCTTCAGAATGTGGAGTTATTTTATGTAATTTTATGGTCCCCAGGCGATACTTATTGAATTCATAGAGCATCTCATGAGTAATCCGTCTGGTGATCACAGAATCATGCAGCAAAACTTCCCTCCTCTCCACCTTCAATCAAAATGGTTTGTTGCATCTCTCTCTAATTGGATACCCCAGATGCATATAAATACTGTACTGTACTCTAGCTAATGATGAACTGTTCTGCAGCAGTCAAAATAACTCCGGGAAGACTCATTTTTTAATTTATAAAATGCATGCCGTTCCCAATCTTAGGGAGTATGGACAATATTTAATAAACACCTACAATTGTGTTTGTTTTAGATTTCTAGAAATGTCTTTGATTTGTTTTCTATATTGATTTTTCACATCACAGCTTATTAACTCATGACAACTTAGCTGATGGCAGAGAAGCATAAGTGTGCAGAAGTATCATTAATACCTCCTTATACATACTTAGGCTCCAAATCCGCAGGGTATATGCAAAGGATTTTCAGAAGCTCTCAGCATTGTCCTAACCCTGGTCCCGTTGACTCCAGTAGGAGCAGAGTTTGGCAAACACTGCATGCTTTTGAAAGAACAACCTTTACCTAAGCCTGCCTTGAGGTTGTAAATAGTCCCATTGACTTCAATGGGACCGCCTACCAAATACCTTCCTAAATGGTAGTGTAATGCTTGTTTTTCTGCCATCTAATCCAACCAGAGCTTCTCCTATCCAAAGGTCAAATGTCCAGGTAACATGCACAATGAAAGCTGGTTAGTATTGTTGGGGACACTGGGGCATGGCCACTAGGTAACTCGAGGGGATAAAAGACCACGAGTGTCAATGAAGCCCCCTCGCACTAGGCCCAAGTGTCCTTGGCCCCCCCTCCCGCCTGGAGGCACTCGCAGCAGCTATGCGTACTAGGCCCAAGTGTCCCTGGACCCCCCGCTTGGAGGCACTCGCAGCAGTTATGCTGAGGATTTGCAACAATATGTTGCAGAGTCAGACTGCCTGAAACTAAACAAGGCCAAACAGGGCAAATATAAAAAAAACAATGCTAAATAAAGCAGCTTTATGTATAGTTTAACAAATAATACAAAAAACAAGGAAACTAGCTGGTAACTGGATTGGCTGGCTATATGGATACTTAGGGCAGCTTGCTATTAAATAAAAAGAAAAGGAGTACTTGTGGCACCTTAGAGACTAACCAATTTATTTGAGCATAAGCTTTCGTGAGCTAGAGCTCACTTCATCGGATGCATACTGTGGAAACTGCAGAAGACATCATGCACATTGTAGGGAGAGTGGTCACTTTGGATGAACTATTACCAGCAGGAGAGTGAGTTTGTGTGTGTATAGGGGTGGGGGGTGAGAAAACCTGGATTTGTGCTGGAAATGGCCCACCTTGATTTTCATACACATTGTAAGGAGAGTGGTCACTTTGGATGGGCTATTACCAGCAGGAGAGTGAGTTTGTGTGTGTGGGGGTGGAGGGTGAGAAAACCTGGATTTGTGCTGGAAATGGCCCAACTTGATTATCATACACATTGTAAGGAGAGTGATCACTTTAGATAAGCTATTACCAGCAGGAGAGTGGGGTGGGAGGAGGTATTGTTTCATGGTCTCTGTGTATATAATGTCTTCTGCAGTTTCCACAGTATGCATCCGATGAAGTGAGCTGTAGCTCACGAAAGCTTATGCTCAAATAAATTGGTTAGTCTCTAAGGTGCCACAAGTACTCCTTTTCTTTTTGCGAATACAGACTAACACGGCTGTTACTCTGAAACTTGCTATTAAATAAGTATGCTAAAAAGAAAATGTATAAAAGCCTGTGTAACTTCCTGCTCTGTGTGCAGGATTTGAGATTCTATTCTCCCTGTACCTTTTTGCAGCTGCAAATAAACATTTCTGCTTCTCCACCCCGTTGTGATTATTGGGTGACGCACACCAGGTAACGAACCCCGCTGTTGTTTTGCCTCTCAGCACTGGGTGCCGGCAACAGCATTATGGGGGAAGATGATTTGAAGGTTAAAATTAGAGCCACAAGATAACCCAGGAGAGTGGGATAATTGATTGTTTAGATAGCAAAGGTTCATAAGGGAAAGCCCTGCTGCATCTGTGTTCAGAGCCTTGTCCTGTAAGGTCCTGGGCATCCTCAACTCTCCTTTGTATCACATCTCAGGGCTTTTAGGGAAAGTGTTCCTAAAATGCCAATCCAAGTAACACACTTGACAACAAATCCGATAGCCCCAAAAATGTTGGGGAAAAAAGATGAATTGCATTCTTTGAGGGTGTCAGAAGGCAGGTGGGCAAGGGAGACCCAGTGGATACAGTGTACTTGGACTTTCAGAAAGCCTTTGACAAGGTCCCACACCAAAAGCTCTTAAACAAAGTAAGCAATCAAGGGTTAAGAGGAAAGTATATGGTTAAAAGATTGGAAACAAAGGGTAGGAATAAATGGATAGTTTTCACAGTGGAGAGATGTAAATAGCAGGGTCCCCCCCAGGATCTATACTGGCACCTGTGCCATTCAACATATTCATTAATGATCTGGAAAAGGAGGTAAACAGTGAGGTGGGAAAGTTTATAGACGATACTAAATTGCTCAAGATAGTTAAGTCCAAAATTGACTGCAAAGAGTTACAGAGGAATCTCCCAAAAGTAGGTGACTGGGCAACAAAATGGCAGATAAACTTCAATGTTGATAAGTGCAAAGTAATGCACACTGGAAAAAATAATCCCAATGATACATACAAAATGATGGGGTATAAATTAAGTGTTTTCCCTCAAAAAGGAGATCTTTGAGTCACTGTGGATAGTTTGATGAAAACATCTGCTCAGAGTGCAGCAGCAGTCAAAAAAGCCAACAATGTTAGGAACCATAAAGAACAGGAAAGATAATAAGACAGAAAATATCATAATGCCACTGTGTAAATCTTTGATATGGTCACACCTTGAATACTGCATGCAGTTTTGGTCACCTCATCTCAGAAAGATAATTAGAATTGGAAAAGGTACAGAAAGGGCCAACAAAAATGATTGGGGTATGGTACAGCTTCCATACGAGGAGAGATTAAAAAGATGGGGACTTTTCAATGCAGAAAAGAGATGACTAAGGGGGGATATGATAGAGGTCTATAAAATCATGATTGGTGTGGAGAAAGTGAATAATGAAGTGTTATTTACCTCTTCACATAACTCAAGAACCAGGGGTCAACAAATGAAATTAATAGGCAGCAAGTTTAAAACAAGCACAAGGAAGTACTTATTCACACAACGAACAGTCAGTCTGTGGAACTCATTGCCAGGGGATATAGTAAAGGCCAAGACTATTAACAGAGTTCAAAAAAGAACTGGATAAGTTCCTGGCGGATGGGTCTGTCAATGGGTATTAGCCAAGATGGTTAGGGATACAACCCCATGCACCAGGTGTCCCTAAACCTCTGATAGCCAGAAATTGGGACTGGATGACAGCGGATATATCACTCAATAACTGTCCTGTTCTGTTCATTCCACTTGCCACTGTCGGAAGACAGGATACTGGGCTAGGTGGACCATTGGTCTGACCCAGTATGGCCATCCATTCTTATGAAACATCTGAATTCCACTTAAGCTCCAGCCCTGGGAGGCACAGAGCACCCTCAATTCCCATATCAATTTATCAGAGCTGAAGGCACTCCGTACTTTGAAAGATTGGGCACTACATTTACCTCTCTCTCTCTCTCTCTCTCTCTCTCTCACTCACAGTAACAAGATTTACAATGATTTATATCCTGTATCATTTGTATTGTATTTCAGTTTCATCATTTCTGCTCAATTAACAAACAGGACACGAGTTTGAAATGTGTTGATATAACTAGTGAGTAAATGAAGGTCTAGCTGGCTTTTCTGACCTAGAAAATAAGTTAAGCAGATGTAGTAGGCTTCATATTTTGTGATTTTCACCTATTTTTAATTAATATATTTACTAAGCATTAAATATTATGCCTTGTTAGTAGTAATAAGAGTGTTTCCAAATCACAGACACATGCATAATTGCATCTAAACAGGTCATGGATTAACTGCAGTAAAGGAAAAAGCAGGGGCCACTCTAAGAATTCATAATGCGAGTTCAACATCTTCAGAAGGAGCACAACCTGCCACAATTGAGAGCGAAACACCAGGGATCATAAGTAAGTAGCTTATTAGTCCAAGTTGAATGGAACTTTCTGACAAATTGTCAAATGTATACAATTTAGGAAATAAAAGATTTTGGTGACAGAATCCAGTTCATTGTGATTTGTTGAAGATAACACAGTGTTGAAGATGCATTGTGCCTGGCTCTTTTTCATTTTATTAGATTCCAACGATGTCCCAGACCAGAGCTCTGTTGGGGCTTCACCCTCTTCTCCTTCATCTGGATCTCGTGGGATGCTGTCAACAATCACTAATGCTGTACAGAACACAGTGAGTAACTCAAATGTGTCTTGTCTTCTCAAGTTCTCCTTCATGCCCTCTAATTGCAAGTCATATTTGAAGACGAGGGTTTGGGAGTTGTGTGACTGAAAAACAGTGTTTGAACCACAGATCTACAATGACACTTTTATGCAAAAATAATTAGCTCAATATAAAATTTCAGGTATATCAAAGAAAGTAACCAATTTAGGCTACACCTACACTGCGAGCTAGGGGTGTGATTCCCAGCTTGCCTGCACATACTCATGCTAGCTCGATGAGAGCTAGTGCATCTATAAACAATAGCATAGCTGTAGTAGCACGGGCAGTAACAGCAGAGGCTCAGCTTAGCAATGCTGAGACATACCCATGAAGTTCAGGTGAGTTTGTATTCAGCCTGGTTTTGAACCATGCCACTGCATCTTGCTGCCCATGCTACTATGGCTCCACTACTGTTTATACTCGCGCTGGCTCTCATTGAGCTAGCACGAGTATGTGTATGTGAGCTGGGAATCACATAGCTAGCTCAAAGTGTAGACATGGCCTTTGAGTGAACATTTGGGACTAGACTTAGTTTTAAAAAAATTCTGGCAGCTGCACTGTGTATGTCTATGCAAAGCCTTGGGAGTCATGTGGAGGTGTGGTGCTCTCATGTGATTTTTATTAAAATCAAGTCCTTCGTGATTAACTTTGAGAGGAGGGTTTCTGATATTTTCCTGGCAGATAAAACAAAACAATCCTACATTTGCTTGGTTCAAGACTTTTACTAAATGATTCCTTTTCTTCTCTACCCTGGCCTCTCCCTCTTTGCCTAGTCTCACATCTCAAACTGTCTCTTTGACACTGCTCTCTGGATATCTTGGTGCCATCTCAAACTCAACATGGCAAAATTTGAGCTATCTATTCATCTTTCCTCCCTTATCCATTATTACTATTGTCCTCTCCATATTCCTTGTCATCCAGGCTCAAAACCTAAGCATTGCGTTTCACTCTCTTCTTCCCTCTCCTCCCCTGTATCCCCGCTTTTGCCTAATCCTGTTGCTTCTTCCAGTTTACCGTCTCCAGTGTCCATCCACATCTTGCCTTGTTCCTTTCAGTGTGTATACAATGTTACCACTACAGTCATTTTCCTTTGAACTCTTTTGCATGGTGCTCTAACATGGGGTTGCAGAAAATTGCAGGCAGCATCTAGGAAGCATAGGTGGCAGGGTTTCCCTTGTGAAAAACTGGTGAGGGTGATGTTCCATTACAAGTGACTGTCCAGCTCATTCGAAGCATAGCTTTGCTCTAATGTCAAGGATTCTGGGAACATGGGAAGACTGCCATTGACCACTCCTTGAGGGCTGCAATGAGAGTCACAGAGTCAGTGAGGTTGTTGCTACCCACGATTTGCTGGTGGTGGGTTTGGGTGAGACTGCCTGAGCTCTGTGGGGAGGCCAGTCTGCATGTGGGAGAATTAGGAGGGTGAGCTGGAAAGTGAGAGCTGTCCACGTGGGTGGTGAAGGCCATCATGGTAACAAATGGTAACAAATGGTATCAAGGTACCAAATGGTATCAAGAAGAAAAAGAGGAGTTCAGGTTCCTCATGGTAATGTAGTGACTCCTGCCTATTGTTGAAGAAAGTTTCCTTCAGTGTTCTAATCGGAGAACAAAGGCAGTCTTGACTGCTGAGACCTCTGTAAAGTTTTCCATGTTCAGCTCCTCATTTGAGAAGCTGCCAAACATAGAGTCTAGGCTAAAGACAGAACAGTTAGCCAGTGTAGGTTCTTCTTCCATGTAGCTGAACCAATGAGAGAGGTGAATAAAGCTGATGAGAGGACAGAGGATCAATGGTTTCATTTGAGAGAATCTCCCATGTAGCAGTTCTTTGCAGCTGTCAAATGAAAAAAAAAAATCAGTTCCATGAGTGAGGTGAGCTCCTCTCTTAAGGGTCCTTAACTTCAAAGGAACCTTTTGTACCTAAGATTTGCACTTACCCGCTGCATGCCGTTTACAGGAAAAGATGAGTCATCCATGTATACAAAGCAAATATGGCTTTATTCTCTGATTAGTATTATTTAATTTATTAAGAGAATTGCTATTGGACATATTTCTTATTGACTTCAAGCTATGAAATGTCATTCAAAATAAGTTAATTATAAAGCCTTTGTATAGTACTTTTTCTCCAGGAACATGGATTCAAAGCAAAGTGAGATGATTGATGAAGTCATAAATCCTATTATTAGTACGGGTGGAGAAACTTTAGGAAATTAAAAATTCAAAGTCCGCATCAGCAGTATCAATGTTTTTTACAATTTCTTATTAACTTAAAGTGTAAAGAAAATAACCACACTGCATTGTTTTATGTACAGGGAAAAAGTGTTTTGACTGGTGGTCTAGATGCTTTGGAATTTATCGGCAAGAAAACCATGAATGTCCTGGCAGAAAGTGATCCTGGATTTAAGAGAACCAAAATACTGATGGAAAGAACAGTTTCCTTATCTCAGGTTAGACTGCTTCAAACCTGTTTTGTTAGTGCAGTTGCAGATTACTGAGCCAGAATTTCATTCACATCAGTGGTAGGGTTAATTTAGGATAGTTAAATCTATGCAAATAAAAATTATGCATTGTGTCAGCTCCGCTTTGTTCTCTGCAGGACTGCAAAGTAACGTATTTTGTAAAATCAGCGCTTGCATATAAGCAAGGATGTGCAATTACCGATTTTCATAAGATACTGTGTCAGGTGATAAACACTGTACTCTGGATAAGTGATCAAATGTTTTCATGATAGTTATAAATCTTGCATTCACACCAATACATACATAGTTGTAGTGGTTTCCTGGGGAATGAGTAATAGTGAAATGTAACATTCATTTTATTGGAAAAAAAATTAAAGCAGTAAAAAGTTATTACTTTTATTCTTTTAAATTAATGCTGTCATCTAGGGAAACAGGATACTCAACAGCAATGCACCATGCCCTCACTATATGAGTCAAAGACACATGATTTGTGTCTTCAAAGATTCAGAGACCTTGTAACAGTATAATCTGAATATAATCATTGCAAGTACCAGTTACTTTAGCTCTCCAGGTACAGATGTTCAGTAACTGCTTACTACTTTTGCTAGCTGCAATAGAATTTCATCAATAAACAGTGTTTGTGTGTGTGTATTAATAAACACAGATAGACCGAGGTAGCATAAAATCTCTAGTGTATGTAGTAAGGTTAAGGGAAATCCTATAGCAGTAGACATTAAAAGGAAGCCTTTATATTACCACAGTATTTTCCTTTTTGTAGAATGTAATATTGCAGTGAGATATTTTTCTCTCAGTAAAATGTTTCATTTTTAACATCTACCACTTTAAGCAGAAACAGAATGATACTGTTAGAGCAGATCAAAAGCAAACTAATTCGTACTAAGCAAATTACATAATTATACACTTTACCTATATCTACTTGAGCAGTGCTCCAAATGGCCATTACTGTTAAACAAGAAATATGTATAGCCATAAAATACTACAGCCCCAATACTGCAGTTGAAGTTTCTAAGTGGATCTGATTGCAAGATCACAGCTTAGTTTTGGGTAATGTGTTTCTTGTAAAGCATTCCAAGGCACTTCACAATCTAATATTGCAACTCTGGTAATAAAGGGGACTCTCTCAAGTAGTGTAGACTCAATATTTGATCTGACTGAAAATTTATGATCTGAAGAAAGTCATCTAAATTGTAAGAACCAGTTTTTCAAACACTGGACTACAGCTGCGTCTGCAAAAAATAAACATCTACATGAAACCAGCTAATTGCATGAGCAGGTATATGTTAATACATTCGGTTAAGTGATGGCATGTCCATCCTATTCTGGACTGCACTTAAGGAGATACTTAAAGTTAAGCATGTGCTTAAGTGTGGTCCTGAACTGGGGCCTAAATAGGCAAGGGAGAAAGGAAGTGTTAAATGGAGGTTATAAGAGGTGGGAAAATGTGGCAGAGAAAGGTAAAGTGATTGCCTAGGTTCACACGGAAAGTTGTAGAATAACTGAACCCAGTTCTCCTGAGTCCCAGTCCACTGCTTCCTTTTAATGTAATTTGTGCATGCAAAATTTAGGTATGAAGAATTGTGTATGCAGTATTGAAAATGGGGCTCATTTGAAAATCCGACCCAATATACTTCGTACGTCTAATGAATACTTGAATGCCATGTCATACCAAATTGAAATAGGAAATAGTGCAAACATGGTAGAGCTAGATATTTCATTCTTGTGCAGAGGAACAGGAGAAGGCCAAAGTGCCACATAAGCGTTAAATGTCAAAATAGGCTTAAGTGGTGGATAGGCTTTGGATAGGTTGAAATTTAACTCATAAATGCAGTGAAAAATGTGTACAAGAGGCCATTTCTCCTTACGCAACCTTCTGTATTAAGAGAGTACTCCATAATATCTCCAAATGTATGGAGTACAGTTCTGATCCTCTTTTATTACAAAAGCCTACCTTCATTAAGCAAATGATTTTTGTGGGTCCAAAGGTCATTTACGGCAGGTTTCACTATATATTGAAAATACTTCATGTGGGTAGGAACCCTGGAAACAGCGTTCTGCAGAGATTGTGTTCTATGTATACGTACCATAGGACCTGTATCAGATGACTCACTAGATGAAGTAAAGACTTTTTAATTTTTCTTCCCTTGCAAATGATAGCTAAATTTATAAGGTATTACCTGTAGCCGACACTGCATTTGAGGATATGAGCAATGTTATTTGTTGTTGGTTTTTAAAGACAGTTAATAATTACCATAGAGAAAACCACATATAGAACGCTACTTAAATATTTTATTAGAGAGGTTTATCAAAAAAAATTATGAGGGATATCCGAGGCTGACTAAAATTTCAGCTCTGCAGGTGTGATATCGTCCCAAATTTTATTATTATTGCCTAGAAGAGATGAGGCTGAGAGTAATAAAAACTGCCAAATCTGCAGTGCGGTCAGTAAATTACCAGGAATGATGTATATTTTTTCAGCTGTTGCGAGAAGCGAAAGAGAAAGAGAAGCAGAGATTGGCCCATCAAGTTACAGTTGAAAGGACAGTACATTATGGGCTGCTTTTTGATGAGTTTCAAGGTTTGTCCCATCTTGAAGCTCTGGAAATTCTGTCAAATGAAAGTGAAGCCAAGGTACAGTATACAAGCTGCATAAATAACAAACACAATGTTTAGTGAAATACTTTTTGTAAGCATTAATCTCCTCATACAAGTCCCATTAAAGTCAATAAGAGTTTTTTCATTGACTTCAGTGGGCTTTGATTTGGTCCCAAGGGTCAATCCCTTATATCATGAAGTCAATGAGCATTTTCCGAGTGACTTCAGGAGGACCAGGATTTAGCACAAAGAAAGCAAGGAAATCTGCTATTGAAAGTTCTAGTTGTTAAGACATTATGTGTTCTGCATTTTTAAACCTGTTACACGGTGCTAATGCCCTTTCAAGCTTTATCAGAAGACTCAAGTGTAATGTTTTTATTAAAGGTGTTACCATTTATATTCAGGAACCTTGCACCAACTACACCAAGAGATTAATAAAATATAATGCATTCTAGATTATTTATTTAACTTCTAAATATTCTTTATTGCATTGTGCTATTATCCTGTTGTTGACCAACCCAAGATATAAATAGAAATGTAAGCAGTCTCTGTGGCTAGGTTTACACAGCAATGTAACCTAGGGTAACTGGGACTTGAGTCAGCTGACCCACATCAGGGAAACCTGGGCTTGAGCATCTACATTGCATTTTAACCCTAGGTTAAGAATTTTCTGACCCGTGCTCAAACCTAGGACTCTAATATCCACACTGCAGTGCACTGACCCAAGTCAAAAGTAACCATATTCCAGAGTGCCTAATGCCCCCCACCAATGTCAACATTCTAGCCCTAGGAACACGGTGTACTATGGGAAAACTCTACTGCCCACTCTGTTTCCTAACAGTGGTGGTGCTGTTGATGGGACTTGTGCCCATAGTTGGCCCTCCTCAAGGAGTACATGAGTGCATAAACTGCAAAGGGTATTACTCCATTGTTATGCAGGCACTAGTGGACCCCAGAGGCAGATTTATGAATGTCAGTGTGGGCTATAAAGGAGAAGTTAATGATGCCAGAGTTTTTTGCTACTCTGGAGTCTAGATTCATGGACAGGCTGGGACACTGTTCCTACCAAATGACATTGATATAAATGGTGTTACTGTCCCCACTGTTGTTATGGGGGAACCCGCGTACACTCTTTTGCCTTGGCTTATGAAACCATACCCTGATTTCAGAGGCCCAGGCAAAAAAAAGTTTAATTACACTCTAAGCAGGTGTAGAATGATTGTTGAATGTGCTTTTGGCAGATTAATATCCTGTTGGAGGTGTTTACAAACCCATTAGATGCCGGTGTAATTACTGCTGTCTGTGTTACTGTGGCTTGCTGTGCTCTTCACAACCTTTGTGAAGCCAGAGGTGAGCCATTTCCCTCTAAAAGGACCTATGACAGCAAGGGAACACTGGATTGGTATGCTCAGCCGGAAAGTGAAGCTAGCGTGGCGGGAGCTGGTTGCACCCAAGCAGCAGAAGTAAGGGGTACTTTGTGTGCTCACATTACAGATTTGCATGGCCCAATGGGAGAGGGAGAATAGTACCTGTAGGAATGTGCTTTGAGGGGAGGGGAAAACTGGCTCATTTTTGGTGAGGGGGCAGTGTTTGGGAGGGGGTGGTCTTGATTGCCATGCAATGTAAGTCAAAAGGACATGATAAAAAATAAATTGGTTGTGGTTGATAGTGTGCTTGTGCAAACTGCAGATCACTCACCCTGCAGAAGGAACACTCCAAAGGGGTCATACACTGTACCTGAGTCACCACCCTGTCTAAAGTCTTCTAACACTGACCCAGCTGAAGACTGGTGCAGAAGCAGCCTCCAACGTTCAGCAGCTGGCGCTTTCTTACTCTCACTTTTTACTAACAAGTCTCGAGAAGCAGCCAACGCTGTGATCCACTGGTCTGCCCAATAATCAAGTTCTTCAGCTCTTGGCAATCCCCCCAGGGGATCAAGAACTAGCTGCTTCCTTCCCTGCTCCGTTCCGACCAGGAATGTGTGGCCCCTGCCTGCATGACCCAGCTGGGGGATCGCTGCTGTCCTCCCGAAGATCCCATCTCTTAAAACACACACACACACCCGAGCATGGCTGCTGCAGGCTACAGACTGGTGAAGTGCATCCCAGGCTTGGGGTGCACTGTCCTCCAACACCCCCCAGGCCCTTATTCCTGTCCCCGCTGCATTCCAGGAGGCTGCAGGGAAGTTTGGGGACCAGCTCCCACTCACCACCCTGACAGTGCACACAGACAGGGCGTCCCTGCACACACAGCCCCAGGAAGAGCAGTGGGAGCCCAGGAGCAAGGGTCAGAAAACAGAGCGCCACCCTGCAGAGAGAGGGAGTGGGAGAGCTCCTGGCTCACCACGGCCAGGGGGGTAATGATCCCCAACAGCCAGGAGCCACATCCCACCTGGCAAATTTGCTCCCTGCTCTGGGCAAGCTCCACACGACAGCAAGGAGACGCAGGAGCCAGAGCCACCAGTACTCCAGGAGGATGCAGGCAGTTCCGGACCACTGTCCTGGCTGCTTGCAGTACTGCTACTCTGCTGTCAGGAACTGTAGGATACGTCTGGAAGATTCTCAGGATCCCAAGTCAAACCAGGACCATGTGCACACAGGATAGCAATAGGGCTCCGACCCTAGGTCCAGGCTTAACTCTGGCTCAAACTCTACTACCCTATGGGATCCTGGGGTCTGAGCCCTAGGTTAGCACAATTGCAGTGTGGATGCAAGAGGGGGTTGACTTGAGTCCAGACTCAGACATGGGCTTATTGCTGTGTAGACAAACCCTGTAAGATTACTTTGAGACACATCCTTAGGTTAATAAGGTCTCTGTGACAGCTAGCTTTCAACTGTCAGTTTATTGGCTCTGCTGTTCATGCATTCAGGAAAGCTTTGTTGCACACTCAGTGGTGTCATTTATACATTGTGACATTTTTCCAAATACATTTCTCAGGGTATCTTCCTCCACCTTTTTCTTTTTAAGTCCATCTCTCTCTGCCCTCCCAAAAAATTGAAGTGTAAGGAATAGTTTTTCTTAAACAGAATGGTCCTGCTTTTTTAAAAGGGTCTCACTTCAGCCTCCTGTTTTTCTTGCACAAATAACTGCAGGCCCGTTTCCATAGCACTTTTGACACCTAATGTCCCTGTATTGTAGCATTGCACCTATTTCTAGGTGTAGAATTGTAAATACAAAAATCACAGTCAGATCCTATAAAAACAAAGAAGTAAAAACACCTTCACATTCATCATAGCCAAAACTTAGCTTGTGTCCATTTAAATTCAAGTTAACCAGAGCTCAGACTTCTTTATAATGAAATGAGGTTCATCTCTTGTAAGCAAGAGTGTTCAGTGCTTGGGTATCAACTGCAGATCAAGCAGCCTACATGGGGAGGAAAACTGACAGCAGTTTGGGGACTCTGCAAGGGTATTCCTAGTTGAAGAAGAAAACAGACTGGTGAGTGTCCATCAAAGACAGCCTATGCGAATTTGGTGGGACTAAGGCGGCTTGTGAAGAGAGCAGACTACTAACAGTCATTCCCTAGGTTCATAGCCTTTATTTTCAAAACTCTCAGTGGGCTAGAACCAGACTTTCTCCAGCACAATGATCTGCCATGACCACTGCATTCTTCAGAACAGTTGGACTGTCAGTAATGTGGATAAGCTCTGTAGGAGTAGGGAACAGGGCCACTACTCTGGAATTCCCTGCCACAGCTGTTCAGGCTGACAGGGAGTCTTCCCCTCTGCTCTTCCTACCCACTCTCTTCACCAGAGCCTTCCCAGAATAATTATAAGATGTTAAAATAAATTGGTTTTAATCCAAAAAATGTGCTCAAATATCTTGTAAGGCTTGTGTAATATTTGTAAGAAATTCGGATACCAAGTGGATGAACACATAATTAATCCCTAGATAAGGTAGGTTGATAGATTAGATAAAGGACCTGATCTTTTAATGGGAGTTCTTGTCTACTGCTCAACACACCTTGGGGTCAGGAACAAAATTTGTAATTTCAGAGGGGTGAAAGAGAGGGGTGATTTGGGTTAGTAGTGATCACTGTCATTTCCTTCTTCAGATTCAGTCATTTTTAACATCACTTAATGGAGTGGAATTAGAAACTGTGAAAAATGACTTAATTGCTATTAAAGAGATCTTCATTCCAAAGGACTCAAATAATGAAGAGGATCAAGAAAAAAAAGGTAATTAAAAAAATACTGGCATATCCCAGGTGAGACCTGTTAAATCTGTGTTTAATTAAAAAAAACTTTAATCCAAACTAGCATGCTTTAATTAATTGAGAGTTGACAGCAGACAGAAAATTTGGAGTGCATTTCTCTATAATACCCTAACATTCTTCAAAAGAAGTAAATACAATGGAGACTAGGGAAGCTTGGATTGTTAGATGTTCATTTCAGACTCAATTGATTCACATTCTGGTTTATAAAAAGAAAAGGAGTACTTGTGGCACCTTAGAGACTAACCAATTTATTTGAGCATGAGCTTTCGTGAGCTACAGCTCACTTCATCAGATGTTTACCGTGGTATAAAATTGTGCATGCACCACAGGCTAAAAGTTTAGTGGAGTTCAGCAATGATTTTGTACCATAATGGCTGTATCCAGTACACAGTGGGTGAGATCCTTACCCCTGCTCCAGCAACTTTACACCAGATAAAAGGGCTTGTGTGACATAAAAGGGTCCTAAAAGCCCCAGTTCCTGCTGAGAGAGAATTCCCCTCACACAGGTACTGTTGAAGAAAGCCATAGGGCTGCCTCCAAGGCTTCTCTTTGCAAGTCCTGACTTAGGAGGTGTGCTGGGGGGCAGCCAGGGCATGTTACAGGCCGGGCTGCAGTATACAGCACTGAGGGGATTCCAGACCATGCTGTGGTTGAGAGGGCAGCCTAGGGAGGTTTCCATAGAGAGACGCTTAGGGCTGCCTATGTTATGCCAGGGGCCTCTGCAGCCTCTGAAACAGGACAGAATCAGAAGGTTGAATAGGTAGCTTAAAGCCACCGTAGTCCCCTCTCCTCCTGGGTTGTGCACTCTGAATTGATCTCTTGAAATCAGTGGAAATGGACTCTATCCTCAGTAACTTAGAAGACCATGTTTTACATATAAGGGTCTTCTCCGAATCTCAGGGATGCAGGCCTATACGACCTTACATTTTGCAAAATATTGAGAGATGTGTGACCAAGAATCTGAAATTAAGAATCACTGAAATAAAACCTTATTTAAAAGAAGTGTCTAGAGATATTTCATTGTTGACACCACCTGGGGCAGCAGCAACTTCTATTCTGTTCTACTCTACATATTTCCCTCATCACCATAGTCTCCTAGCACCTTCCAATAGTTTATTAAGCAAAAAGGGACTAACATCTGTCTCATGTGGTTTGTTCTTTCATCCTCTCCTCAAGGGAAAGCTGTGTGTGCAGTAAAGTGTTTTAGTTTGGTATGGTTGTTTTTTTAATGTAAACACTGCTTTGAGTTTGTACTAGAGAGAGCACATCAAAGAAACATGGCTTGCATTTGGAGTGGAAAGTGGTGAGGTCTGTGATGGTCCTTAATGCCTGAAGAATTCATTCCACAGCCCCCAAGAACGCTCTGTCTCCAGCACACATGAGCTTTACACTTAAGGTGGAAAGTTCCCTTGTGCCTGAGGAGGGGAGTTGTCAACCAATGTCTTCATTCTCAAGCTCTGAGCAATCTTTTAGATATGCTAAGCCTAAGCCATAGAGCTCCTTGAAGATAAAGACTGAAGCAAAAAACATTGCAGATTTTGCTTTGCAAAAGCAAATCAGTAGGAAGACCAAAATACATCCTCCCTTGTGACAGAGGAAATAATAACCACAGACAAGTTCAATGCAGCTTGGAGCGAGAGAATGGTCTTCAGAAAGTGCAACAGTTATTTTAGGCTGCAGTAGGATCAACTACTGTTCAAGGTGACTCATTTTCTTTAACCACAATAAGTGCACATTGGGCAACATTCACCACGGTGCAGAAAGCCAGGCAATTCCTATGCACCAAAGGCAGTATAATACAGTGTGTTGTGTATCCCTTTGTGATCAGCCCTTTAGTGGTGGACAGGATTTGCCCTCTCCTTCTGCACAGAGGCATATGTCACCCATACTGCATAAGCAGCAATCCGACAAGGGAACTTTCATATCTTATACACATCACATGATGTCTGTCCACAGATATTTACAAACAATTAAGGGGACGATGTCAACTTGCTTTTTTTTTTAATACGAGAGGATGAAGGAGACTATAAAAATATTAAATATTTAAATGTTTAATATCTGGCCGTACACAGAATTACTAAAGGAGATAGAAAGAGAAATCTGGCCTTTGAGAAATGGAGAGGAGACCCAGTTTCTTTTCAGATATTTGTAACATGCTTACAGGCAGCTGCGTTGAATCTCTTGAGGACAAAGTTGCCAGCTATTTGGTTTATATATCCCAGTGTTTTGCTGCTCAGCTAGCAAACTTTCATGTAGATGAACTAGATTTTTTGCTACAACTCAGTCTCCTGAGGGCTGAAATACTTTAGTCTAACCCTAGTTGTGCTCAATATGAGGGTAACTAAATGAAGTTAATGGCCTGTGATATACTGGACATAAGACTAATGATCCCTCCTGGCCTTAAACTCTGTGAAACGATGAACAAGATAAACCCTTATGGGAAAGTCCTATATAATTTAAGAGGGATGAAATCAATACGGTTCTGTAGAAATTACTCTAAAATCTAATAGAAATTCACAGAGCATCTAATCCTTTCTATGGGCCTGCTCCAGAGCCCACTGAGCTGAGAAGGAGTCTTTCCACAGACTTCAGTGAGCTTTGGAGCAGGCCTTAAAGACTTTTTTTTTTTAACTATTGTGACAAAGCTCTGTCCTTGCCTCCATGGGTCCCGCGTTTCCTGGTGGATTTCGCTAGCCTCAGAGGCTCACTGTGACCTCCATGTAACCCTTCTCTCTCTAGAGACAAGGGTCAGTCTACTGAGCCATTTTCCTCATAAGCCAGCAAGGGAGGTGAGGAGAAGTTATCCTTCCTTGCACAATCTCTGTTGTCTCCCAGTCTCAGTGATTAATCAGGGGGCAGAGCGGGGGGAGCCCAGGCCCACCCTCTACTCCGGGCTCCAGCCCAGGAACCCTAATAGTACCAGCTATGGTAGCTGACCTTTTAGAAACATGACATGTACAATTCCCTGGGCTACTTCCCCCACAGCAGCCCTCACTTCCTCAAGCTCCACTTCACCCTTACCTCAGGGCCTCCTTCCTTGTACCTGATGTGGTGTGTACTACTCAGCCTCTCCAACAGCGCAACTTCCTCCCACAACTCCTGACATGCACACCCACCTGACTGACTGGGAGACTTTTAACTAGTTTCAGCCAGCCCCTGATTGGCTTCAGGTGTCCCAATCAACCTAGCGCTCTCCCTGCCTTCTGGAAAGTCTTAATTGGCCCCAGGTGTCTTAATTGACCTGGAGCAGCTGCCATTTCACTTATCCTGGTACCAGGGATTTGTTTAGCCTGGAGCTAATATAGCCATCTGACCTTGCCCCGTCACACTATCCTATAGAATTATATACAGTAGTATGGATATAATTTTGTATTACATTTTATAGGATGGTTTGAAAACTATGGAAAAATGATAATTTTCTATAGGACCTTTCCATGAGGGCTGGGCTGGCATCTCTGTGGTGAGGACACCCTCATGAGACACTTGAGTTTCAGTGTTTGCTGCTGCCTTTCCCTTGTGATTGGCCATGCACGGAGCATTGCAAAGACACTGTGCACATCTCCTTACATTGCCCTGCAATGTCCTCACTAGACAACATCTTTGAGGGTGCCTAAGAGAATCCTACTTATCTTTTCTCAGCCAGGCTGAAATGTGGGATCTTCAGGAAGGGTGTAAAAACTAGGATAATGGGAGAAGGGGTTTCCTGTGACCCTTGGGAGGCCTGTGTGACAGGAACACCAAGCCATTCCCTGAATTTAACACATGCATTCCTAAGTGTCTTTATTGAGTGCAGCCAATGCATAAAGGCCCCATAAAACTTAAAGAATTCAGTTAATAGGCCCATAAAGGGCAATAATCTGTCATTTTAAAATAAATATGATATCCAGCATCTTTAAATTTAATTCTATTAATGATGTAAATGTTTGTTCCCCCGACAGAGCACAGTTTTATTAACTGTTGCAGGTTTCTAATTCAGACAGCCTTTGTTTGCCAACGGCTATATAATTTAAGCCACATTTCTATTCTCCACTTACTGTGGTTCATGTTTCTGATCCTATTTACAAAACCAAATGTAGCTTCCCAGGTTGCACTGAGGTGTGTCCTTCCCAGAGCAGATTCTTGGTCTTTTTTCTTTTTTAATTTGATTTATTTACCTAAAATGATTTGTTTAGGGCCCTTCGGCATATTGCCATGATATAGTCCTTATCTACATTGGGGAAAATGCGGTGTGCTTAGTACTATTTAACATGTTTTTCAAGCACACACTGAGCACCTCGTGTGAACAAGGACAGTGCTGTTTAATTATGAGTTAGCTGGTCATGGTGAAACCCACTGCAAATAAGAGGTGTGTTCTTAACTTGACTTAGATAACTCAGGTTAAAATCCCAGCAAAGACAAGGTAGTTGTAGTTTTATCGTTAGTAAGCAAGTGGAGTTAAACCACAATTCCCCTATTGTCTTTAATTCAACTCACTAACTTGTGTTAAAACAACAACTGCCTTGTCATCAGTGGGATTTTAATTAGAACCTTTTTCCCCCCCAGTGAAGACATGGTCCTAGACAAGATGTTCTTGACCATGTTAAGTTCTGTCTAGGTGCTCAGCAGGACCTAAAAACATGTTAAGTGACATCATGTTGGCTAACTGTCTTGCTAAAGACACCGTGTTTTCCCATTGTAGACAAGGTAATTTTGTAGACAACAGTATTTTATAGCGCTACAGTATCATTTGGCTGTGCTCTACGTATACAAAAGATAAGAGATTTAGCTGGAAGAAAAATACTTCCTTACCTTCAAATAAACTGTTTGGAGGGTTTGTTTCTTTGCTGTAACCTTGAGGATCCATCCTGGACCATTTCTCACCTTCTGCTGCTGCTCCAAGGATGTTACTAGAGCTTTTCAGCTGCAGTTATCTCTGTGGAGACGGCACAAGAGAAAGATATAGGAAGATCTCTGGAGGGCACTTTTGGGAAAGCTCGTTTGCATAAATCTCATTCTTGGCAATTTTGGGATTGGGTGTGTAGCCTGTTTCCATGCCATCTTTAGGATCAGTCAGACGGGTACAATCAGCATCCACAGGCGTAAGGGGAAAGGGCACTTCTTGCTTCCAAAGGGCCAAATGTGTTTTTCAAGTAGTTTTCTGTTTCCTTTCAAACTGTGTTAATATTCGTGCCCAACGAAAGATGAGGATACCTGAAAAAGTGACTGTACTTAATTCTTAAGGCTACGTTAATATCAGTGACTTCACATGTCACCACCTGACATTAAGGGACAAGGTAACTGAACTGGGTATCAAATTTTATATTCCACAAGTTATCAGAAGTTCTGGTACTTGTACAATGTGTCAGTGAACAGCTTCTATAGTTTCAGTAGGCTGCAAATAATGACACAGTTCAACATAGACTTTTAAAAATAAATGAAGCGAACATTGAAATAATAACCCTGAATACAAGAAAACTTGCTCAACACTGTCAAAAGATCAGCCATATTGGGTCAGACCAACGATCCTTTCAGCCCAGCATCCTGTTTTCTGGTCATGCTCTCTGAAGCATCTGGCACTGGCCATTGTCAGAACAGGGCAATTTCAAGTGATTCATCTCCTGTCTTTCAGTCCCAGCTTCTGGCAGTTGGAGGTGTAGGGACGCCTGGAGCATAGGGTTGCATCCCTGACCATCTTGGTTAGTAGCGACTGATGGACCTATTCTCCATGAACTTATCAAATTCTTTTTTGAACCCAGTTACACTTCTGGCCTTCACAACATCCCATGGCAACGAGTCCCACAGATTGACTGTGTGCTGTGAAGAAGTACTTTCCTGTGTTTGTTTTAAACCTGCTGCCTGTTAATTTCTTCAGGTGACCCCTAGTTCTTGTGTTTTGTGAAAGGGTAAATAAGACTTCCCTATTCACTTTCTCCACATCATTCATGGTTGTATTGACCTCTGTCATATCCTCTCTTTATTCATCTCTTTTCTAAGCTGAACATTCCCAGTCTTTGTAATCTCTTCTCTTATGGAAATGGTTCCATACCGTTAATCATTTTTGTTGCCCATATCTTTTCCATTTCTAATTTCATCTTTTATAAGATGGGGCAACCAGAACTGCACACCGTATTCAAGGTGTGGGCATACCATGGATTAATATAGGGCATTATGATATTTCTGTTTCATTGTTTATTCTTTTCCCAGTGGTTCTTAACATTGCTAGCTTTTCTGACTGCCGCTGCACATTGAGTGGATGGTGTCAGAGAATTATCCATGATGATTCCAAGATTTCTTTCTTGAGTGGTAACAGGTAATTTAGACCCCATCATTTTGTATGTCCATTACTTTGCATTTATCAACATTGAATTTTATCTGCCTTTTTGTTGCCCAGTCACCCAGTTTTGTAAAATCCCTTTGTAATTCTTTGCAGTCAGCTTTGGACTTAACTTTGAGTAATTTTGCATTGTCTACAAATTTTCCCACCTCCCTGTTCACCCCTTTTCCAGATCATTAATGAACATGTTGAGCAGCACTGGTCCCAGTTCAGATCTTTAGGGGGGATCCTGCCATTTACCTCTCTCCATTATGAAAACTGTCCATTTATTTCTATGCATTGTTTTCTAGCTTTTAATAAATTACTGATCCATAAGAGGATCTTCCCCTTCTTATTCCATGACTGCTTAGTGTGCTTAAGAGCCTTTGGTGAGGGACCTGGTCAAAGACTTTGTGAAAATCCAAGTCACTGTATTGTTTGGCTCACCCTTGTCCACATGTTTGTTGACACTCTCAAAGAATTGTAATAGATTGGTGAGACGTGATTTCCCTTTACAAAAGCTGTGTTGACTCCTCCACAAGATACTGTTTTTATGTGTCTGATAATTCTGTTCTTTACTATAGTTTCAACCAATTTGATAGATACTGAAGGGAGGTTTACCGGCCTGTAAAAGCCAAGGTCACCATTGGAGTCTTTTATAAAATCAGCATTATGTTAGCTATCCTCCAGTCATCTGGTACAGAGGCTTATTTAAGCGATAGGTTACATACCATAGTAAGTAATTCTGAAATTTCATATTTGAATCTCTTCAAAAATTCTTAGGTGAATACCACCTTGTTCTGGTGATTTATTACTGTTAAATTTATCAGTTTATTCCAAAACCTCCTCAACCTGGACAGTTCCTCAGATTTGTCACCTAAAAAGAATGGCTCAGATGTGGGGATCTCCTCCACATCCTCTGCCATGAAGATCGATGCAAAGAATTTAGTTAGCATCTCCATGACAGCCTTGTCTTCCTTGAGTGCTCTTTTAGCAACTCACTCGCTTGGTGGCACAACTGAGTGTTTGGCAGGATTCCTGCTTCTGATGTACTTAAAAACAATGTTGCTGGTTTTTTTTTTCTCTCTTTAGCTAATGGCGCCTCAAAGTCTGTCTTGTCCTGCCTAATTATACTTTTACACTTGACTTGCCAGAGTTTGTGCTCCTTTCTATTTTCCTCACTAAGATTTGACTTCCAATTTTTTAAGGATGCTTTTTCACCTCTAACAGCCTCTTTTACTCTGCTGTTTACCATTGGGGAATTTTTGTGGCTCTTCCTTTTTTTTTTTTTTTTTTTTTGCATATACATTTTGTTTGAGCCTAAACTAGTCTCATTGTTGACCTGGTGGGATCACCTCTAAGCGAGACAGGACAGTTCAGTGTCTAGGCCAGGTCAGTTAAAGAGTTGGTGTTATCAATTATTCATATTTACTTATATGGCACTGAGTTGTGTGTGGTTCTTTACATGTAAGGAGATGGGTTCCTGCCTCAAACAGATTATAATGTCAGGTTCTGCCAGCTTTACTCATGCTGAGTAGTACCTTATTTTGTAAATCATCCTATCAAAATCAGTTAAACTAATTGCAGAGTATGGTACGGTACTTTTGAAATGGAGTGGGGTTGGAATCACCCTGTGCAGAGGGTTAGCATAGCAATGTCTTAGTCCCATTAAACCCTATTTTGAGGAGGTAAGGATGGAAAATGTATCCCTAGCTAATAAATGAATAGATAAAAATGGAGACAAAACAAATCTTGATGTGCTTATCCGTAGCATGATCAGGGCTAGAAAGCTGTTTAGTCATATTTCCCCAGAAGGGTGCTAATGTGGATTCCGACACATGGTAGATCCAACCAACCAAACTAAGATACTTTTAGGAGATTACATAGATAAAATGGTAGAATTGCTTGGCAGAAATTGTCATAATGGAAAACATTATCTGTGAAGCCAAAGATAAACTAAAAGATAGTAAAATATATGCATCTTGGGAAGCCCCACAGAAAGAACACAATAGGCCCTGGGGAAACAATGATTGTAGTTTGAGCTGTCACAGGCAAACAAAAGGAATCTATATGACCAAGATGGAGTTCAAGCACAGAGAATCTGTGGTTTACTCACAAACATTCTACAGTGAGAGAAAGTCCTGCCCCTTAGACCAGTGGTTCTCAAACTTTTTTTCATGGACCACTTGAAATTGCCGAGGGTCTCAGCGGACCACTTAATAATCTTTCCAAATGTTGTTTGTACCGTTAGCTAACTATTGTAAAGCACTTTGGATAAAAGAGCTATATTAAAAAAAACCTTAAAAACAATTAACTTTTTTTTGTTTTACAAATAAAAGCACACAACTCAAATTTTAATATCAGTTACCTTTCTAATGCAATGGATGTGTCCTCTCTCTTCCACCGTGGCAGCCCCCAAGCTGGGGCTGGTAAGGAGGGGTCTCTTTCTCTCTCCCCCACTGCAGCAGTCCTTGAGGTGGGACTGAGAAGGAGGGGGGTCTGTCCCTCTCTCCCCCGCCACAGAAGCCACAGAGCTCAACCTGGGAAGGAGGGCCATCTCTCCCCGGCAGCCGCAGCCCTGGAGCTGGAGAAAGTCACCTCTTTCTCTGGCCACTGCAGTCCTGCACATTCCAAATTCCCCCCACCTCCTCTTCTCACTCCACTGCCCCCTCCCACCTACCCTTATTTCCCCCCAAGGCCACCACCTCACCTTACATGTGTATCTTCTCCAGGGTCCAGGCAACCTAATTAGTGGAGCCACACCTGCGCAGCTCCACTGATTAGGTGGGTGGCCCTTCATTCTTTTGTGTGCGGCCGCCCAGGCGCACACCTTAGAGGGAACTATCCGTGGACCACCTGAATGGAGCTCACGGACCACAGTTTGAGAACCTCTGCCATAGACTAAACCACAAAAATGAAAGTTTTGCTTAACCAGAGTTAAGGAAATTACCCTTTTTAGCTGTAGTCCCCACAGTGTGAAAGGAATTATTTTGGGGAAGTTTTGTGGTCTGTGTTATACAGGAGGTCAGACTAGATGATCACAGTGATCACGTCTGTCCTTGGAACCTATGAATAAGCAGGAAACACCCTTTACCTTATGTTCTCTGGTTATGCTGCTCTGTTGTGTATATATATTCTCATTTGAGAAAAGGGGCTTATTTATTGGGGGTTGTATGTGTTCTTCCCTGGTGATTCTGCTGACCCACTGCAATTCTGGGGAGGTAAGCCACGACCTGTGACTTATACAGAATCATAGAAATGAAGGGCTGGAAGGGACTTCAAGAGGTCATCTAGTCCATCCTTCTATGCTGAGGCAGAACCAAATATACCTAGACCATCCCTTACAGGTGATTGTCTCACCTGTTCTTAAAAATATACATCTAGTTCTTGCCTCTGCTGTCTCCCTGTTTTCTTTTGATGGAACAAAGAGTGGAGACATGCACATTTTGTTAGACTAACCAATGCTGGTTCTCTAGTGCTAGAAATATGTTGGGATATGATCTTTGATTTGATTTTTGGATGCTAGAACAAAAACAACACTCTCAGAAATAATCTTATTTCCTTTTGCAGCAGACATGGAAGAAGAGTTTGTTAGCATGCTTACTGAGCTTCTGTTTGAATTGCACGTTGCTGCCACTCCTGACAAACTTAATAAGGTTGGTGCAAGTTACAGAACCTGCCTCCACTCCGTAGTATAAAGAAGAGCTAGTGGGCACTGCTCTGAAATTTGATGTAGAGCAGTATCTAGGGTGGCAGATCAGAGCGCAAATGGTGGATGGCACAGAGATGTTAAATAGAGAGAGCTGTGGTAGAAGAGATTAGGTGGGTCAGACCAGAACCAGGGGGCCAGACTAGCTAGCTACTCTCTCACTGACAAGCCAGAATGATGGGCCGCACAAAGAAATCTCAAAGTGGGGAAAGCTTTAGTAGATAGAATAGGGATCTTTACATGAGGGTTTGGTTTGGTGTATTATGGTCCGTCTACACAGACTGCAGCAGGTCTACAGACTCAGGGTAGTGGGGCTCGTGTTATCACTGTCAAAATAGCTGTGTAGAGAGCGCATTGAAGTTGCAGCTTTGGCTCTGAAGCCCAACCCCCTCCAAAGGCTTCAGTGCCTGAACTCCAGCCTGGGATGCAACTTCATCCCCAGCACTGGCTACCCCACTGTTTTGAGAGCACTAGCACAAGTACCACTAGCCTCAGCCCATCAACCCAGGCTGGAAGGCTCGCTCCCATGGCCTGGGTAGATGTATCGTTAGGTACATCTACACCACAGTTAAAAACCCATGGTTGGCCCATGACAGTTGGCGTAGGCTTGGGCTAAGGGGCTGTTTAATTGCAATGTAGACATTCAGGCTCAGGCTGCACCCCGAGCTCTGAGACCGTCCCACCTCACAGGATCCTAGAACCTGGGCTTCAGCCAAAACCTAAACATCTACATTGCAGTTAAACAGCACCTTAGCCCGAGTCAGCTGGTATGGGCCAGCCCTGAGTTTTTAAACTGTGGTGTAGGTGTATCCTTACTGGCCAGCGACACAGTTCAGCATCAGAATTAAATTTAGCATTGGTCATGTTCATTTTTCTGGGGGAGTACTCCAAACATTCTAAGCTTGAAACAAAATGTTATCACTTCTAATTAGAATTGGCATTTTAAAAAAAAGTGATAAATGCCACATTAATTGTCTGGAAAGACATCACTGATGCTGTTTCTGCTTTGATCCACTTATCGGCTTGGTACTAAGCAGTTCAAAATTCAGTTGCTTTCTTTCTAATTTCCTTTCTGAACTTGGACTTGTTTTAGCTTATTCAAAGAATTTGCTTATTTTTTCTTTCTTTATAAAAATTCTGCTTCACTTTTCCACTCAGATCTTAGTTTTCTTCTTCTTTTATTTCTTAGTTACATCCTGCATAAAACTGAGTTTTTGGTAACCTTAGTCTTAATGATAGCTCTATATGCAGATTAAGGGCAGTATAATATAGTTCAGTATATGGCCATAGGTGAGCAATGCTTCAGTGGACAAAAAGATTTTCTCCTATGTACATGCCTGATGTAAATAAGAATTTTGAGTGGAACAGTAAAACTAGGTAAAGAAAAATGTATTGTTAACTTGTGTTTCAGCAACATTATTTGATCTTCCACACTTGAGTAATAGGAGTTTTTTTTTATGGGGTTTGTTTGGCAGGCTAGGAAAAAAGCTCATGACTGGCTGGAAGAAACCAACTTCTCCACATCACTAGACTTGGAAGAGAAGCCAGAGGAAAACAAACAGGAGGAACAAAAGACTGAACAAGGAGGAGGAGATGGTGGTGATAAAACAGAAGAAAAGAAAAATAAAACTGTGGAGGTAAAATAGTCCTAGAAGGAGAAATTTCATAAACAAAATCATAATCTCTTTGGCTGGATTCTCTAAACAGCCAGCATTGGTGCTTCATCCTTATGTGTGGTACTGTTGTTTTTAATATCTCCAGGGGGAGAAGTTATTTAGTTTTATAAAGGAACTTAAAAGAGATGGTAATCAATAGCTATGAGCCCAATTCTGCAAACCTTACTTATATATGTATTTTTCACTATTAGATGATTCTTATGAGTAAATAATCAACAGGATCAGGCCCTCTGCCAATAGTAACTTTTTAAGCTTTAAAAAAATTAAAAGCCTCATATATACCTTTTACACAAAAGATTAAATTCAGGGAGATGGGAAAATCCTATGGTGTTTTGTCTGTAGCAATGTACCATATTTAAAGTAATGTCTCAGAATTTGGTAGTGGCTCTTACTTCAGGTGTCAATAAATGAAAAAAAATATGATCAACTTATATTTAAAATTATGGATAAACAGATGTGCGAAGTAGCAATATTATTAACTAGTCAAACCAAAAGGTTATGATTTTTTTTATGAAAGGTCTTTCTTAATGCTAAATATACCCAGTGGTGCTGTTGCCTTCTGTGGATATAGAAGAGTACACAGAAGTCACCTACTACAGGAGAGGCCCAAGAAAGAAAATAACAGAACGCCACTAGCTGTCACCTTCAGCCCCCAACTAAAACCTCTCCAAGATCTGCAACCTATCGTGAAAAATGATCTCTCGCTCCCACAGATCTTGGGAGACAGACCAGTCCTCGCTTAGAGACAGCCCCCCAACCTGAAGCAAATACTCTCCAGCAACCACACAACAAAAACACTAACCCAGGAACCTATCCTTGCAATAAAGCCTGATGCCAACTCTGTCCACATATTTATTCAAGTGACACCATCACAGGACCTAATCACATTAGCCACTCCACTCGTGCACCTGCACATCAACCAATGTGATATATGCCATCATGTGCTAGCAAAGCCCCTCTGCCATGTACATTGGCCAAACCGCACAGTCTCTATGCAAAAGACTAAATGGGCACAAATCTGACATCAGAAATCATAACATTCAAAAACCAGTAGGAGAACACTTCAACCTCTCTGGCTACTCAGTAAAAGACTTAAGGGTGGCAATTCTGCAAAAGAAAAGCTTCAAAAACAGACTCCAATGAGAAACTGCTGAGCTTGAATTAATGTGCAAAGTAGATACCATTAACTTGGGTTTGAATAGAGACTGGGAGTGGCTGGGTCATTACACATATTGAATCTATTTCCACATGTTAAGTATCCTCACACCTTCTTGTCACCTGTCTAAATGAGCCATCTTGATTATCACTACAAAAGTTTTTTTTCTCCTGCTGATAATAGCTCATCTTAATTAATTGGCCTCTTAGAGTTGTATGGCAAATTCCACCTTCTCTGTATGTATATATATATATCTTCTTACTATATGTTCCATTCAATGCATCCGATGAAGTGGGCTGTAGCCCACGAAAGGTTATGCTCTAATAAATTTGTTAGTCTCTAAGGTGCCACAAGTATTCCTGGTTTTTTTGCAGATACAGACTAACATGGCTGCTACTCTGAAACCTGTTAACTGTGGTTGAATTTCTTAATTTAAGTTACGACAGTGTTAAATTGTATTGTTTTTAATGATCTCCAATAAAAAAAATCCATTATGTGCCCTTTAAAAAAAATCAAACACTTTAAAATGTAGGAAACTGAGTTGTACTATGTATATTATAGATTATGTTATTGCAGATTTTCAGATACAGGTGAGTCGCATCATACGTGCATTTAACTTACGTAAATTCAACTATATGCGCTCGGCAAAAAAAAAGAAAAATAACAAGATACCGGTAAGTAGTGCGGGCAATTCCGCCCACCATTCCACTCAATGAGCATATGCCCCGGAGTGAGCATGAGATGGGAGACGTGAATCTGCTGTTCCCTCAGACGGTCTCAGTTCCCGCGTGCCTCTCACAGTGTGAGCATCTTGCCACGCTGAGTGTGATTCTAGTGTTTAAAGGTACTGTACGTATTTTTCGTACAACATGGCCCCTAAACGCAAGCCAACTATTTCATCTGGTGCTCAACTGAAGAAACAGCGATCTGTTCCAACGCTGAAGGAAAAACTGGCTGTGCTGGACTTATTGAGAGGCGGTATGTCAGTCTCCGACGTGGTGCATAAGTATGGCCGCAACAAATCTAGCATCCATGCCATCAAGATTCGAGACAGAGAAATTCGTCAAGCCATGGCGGCAAGTGTTCCAATAGCTGCTAAGGTGACGAGCCAGGTGCATGATAAGACTTTAGTGAAAACTGAAAAGGCATTAAACTTATGGCTGGAAGACATGAACCGTAAACTTGTGCCTACCAATGGCAACACATTGCAAGAAAAGGCTCTTAGCCTCTACGCGCTGTTCAAACCTCCTACCAAAGAGGGACAGCCTTCTGGTGAAAAGGAATTCAAAGCCAGCCAAGGTTGGCTTAACAGTTTTAGGAACCACTTCAACCTCAAAAACGTGCAGACTACTGGTGAAGCTGCATCTGCCAATGAAGAGGCAGCAAAAGCCTACCTCGAACAATTAAAGGAAATCACAGAAGAAAAGGGCTGTCTTCCGGAATCAGTTTTTAATGCTGGCGAGACTGGGCTCTTCTGGGAAAAAATGCCTAACCGCACTTACACTTCGAAATCAGAAAGATAAGCCCAATTTCCTGAAGTGTTCCAAGCAGCGAAACACTTGAATGATTTAATTTCTGTTTACGATCCCTCTATGGAATGAAGCCTTAAAATCACACATAGTATTATGGATGATTTGAGACCGTATCAAGAAACATTTGAGCAGCTCAAGAGACAACAGCGACAGTTGCCGATTACTGTGTTTTTGAAGGAAAAACAACCAGCAGCAGATGAGCCTACGCAATCAACTTCTTGAGCTGAACCAGAGCCAACCACTTCATCTACGACTCGCTCTCCGTCACCCAAGCTCTCCGTCGCCTCCGTCTCCTGGATCGACATCAAGCCCTGACGACCCCCCGTAATTACCTCCCTGTAATTAAAAATACAGTACTCTAAAATTATATTTTGCATATGTACTCTTTATTATATACTGTACACATGGTACATTTATACGTATTACTGTACAGGGTTGTATACACAAAACCATGTACAGTATACTGTACTTTATGGGAAATTTTCAAGGGTAATTTTGACTATACGCGATTTTAGCCTTACGCGCTGACTTTAGAAACTAACCCCCGCGTAAGATGCGACTCCACTGTACTGCCAAACCACTGAGAGTTGAGATTAGAAAGAGTTTTATGTATAGTCACTTTGTTGCTAGCAAAATGAATTTTTTATCCAGAGTATAATTCATTTTCACTATGGAATTGTGCTTTGGGAGTGGCATGATCCTCTCAACTCCCTGTGAAATCAGTGTAAATTCCATGAGCGTTAAGGGCTCAATTTTAGCATCTATCAGGACCAGAACCAAAAACTCCACCATAGAAATTCCTGAGGCTGGATACTGCTCCCATTGAAATGAATGGCAGTTTTGCTTTTTCACTTCTCAGAGATAAGCAAGCATGAGGTCCTTACATTGCCATCTGTAGAGATCCCCTTTCCCTCAGGGATAAGTAACAGCTGATATTCCTTGCCTTTGCATGCACTGATATCACCCAGTTTGTACTCTGCCCTAGTTTACAAAGCCTCTTTTTTAGTCTATAGAAATTATATTACTGGTTTTTTTGTTTTATTTAAGGAAGTCTACATGCTATCTATTGAAAGCCTTGCTGAGGTAACAGCTCGTTGTATCGAACAGCTTCATAAAATAGCAGAGTTAATTCTTCATGGGCAAGAAGTGGAAAAGACAGCCCAGGACCAAGCAAAAGTTATGACAAAGTGAATATAATTTTTTTTGTTTCTTATTTTTGTCACCAGTATGAGCTTGCTTAACATTTGCAGTTTTATTGAGTCCAGAGCTTTTGCAGACACCATAACATACCATCGATCAACAAACAGGACTGACTTCAGAGTTCCTGCCACTCTGTTTTCAAAAGCAATCAAATCACAGGCTGCCTGTGATTTGCTGACATGTACATCAGATACATTTTTACAAAAAGCACAAGGGATGCACAAGCTGATGACTTTTTGTTGCTATATTAGTGATGAAATGTGCGCACACATTTTAGGTGCACTTTTCACCAGCACTACCACAGATAGCATACCAACTTGCACAGAATTTGCTTCTGCACCCCACAATAGGGTCTCATCATTTGTACTCTGCCCAAAGGGCACAAAAATCTATTTCTAAGCAATTATGCCATATTCATCACCAACTCATTGCCAACCCACAGGTGTGGGCACCTAACTTCAGGAATCCCAGGTTCAAAACTGGGACCTAAGGATCCAATCCAAAGCCCACTGAAGACAGTACAAAAACTCCCACTGTCTTCAGTGGTCTTTGGATTAACCCCTAAACACATGACCCCAACAAGGTGATGAACATTCTGGTCCCGATCTAGCAAAGTACTTATGCACAGACTTAATTTTAAGCATGTGACTAATCCCATTAAAGTCAGTGGGGGCATTTTTGTTTAAAATTCAGTACTTACTTAAATTGTCTGCTGGATTAGAGCCAGAATGTTCTGCTCCTTGCAGGATTGAGCCCCAACTGAGTTACAGTTATGCAACAAGTCAGTGACAGAGCTGGGACTAGATCCAGATCTCCTCACTCACAACCCTGTGCTTTAACCACTAGACAATGCTTCTTCTATTAATACAATCCACTGCTTTGGAGAGAAAAAAAACTTCATTACATTCATTCTAGCTGGGGGCAGGAGTACTTATTTCCAGTGGCATTTTTAGTCATTAGTTTTGTATAACCTTAAGTAAAGCAATAATTAGACTAAAAGTCTAGTGTTTTTACCAAAAACAAAAACAAAATAAAACCCTGCCATATCAAAAGAGACCAGTGTTTGATCTACTCTGGTATCCTGTCTCCAGCTGTAGCCAGTGCTGGATTTTTCAAATCCAAAGCATAAAGCCTCCATCATGATTCTTCTTACCGGTTGAGCAAATCCCAGGACATTTTAAGATAAAATTTAATTGATTAGAAACAAGATTGTCAGCAGAACTTCGACTTCTGAGATGAAGCAGGAGTATATTTTTAATGTTTGTCTCTTTTCTTTTTTATAACCAGTTTAACAAGTGCCATGTGCAATGAAGTGTTGTCTTTATCTAAGAAGTTTTCTGATTCTTTAACTGCCACCGGGGTAAGATATGAGAGCATTTCCTTTTTATTGTTTGTTTTTATTTTTATAAACATAATATCTTTAAGAGAGATTCTCATCCCCTGTGAAAACTGGCTTTATGTGCAAGACTAGAAATAGGGTGGGCTGGAGTCCTCTGCAACCCCAGCCAGATCCAGAACACAGAGCACCCTTTCAGCCGATCCACCACTGTTGCTAGATCCTGTGATATGCCCTGCCTCCGTAGGCTGGTTTTGTAGCAACTGGATCTACAGAGTTCCTGGACCTGCTAGATATCCCTCTGCCATTCCCCCAGCCCACTCCCCTTGAGTGGCCCACACACAACCAAGAACTGCAGCAGACCCTTACCCAGCTCCTTCTTTTATATGCATCTGTATTTAAAAAAAAATTAAAAACACCCACATACAACATTGGGAGCATTATCATGGGCAGTATGTTAACAGAGGGGTTTCACATCATAAATTATCCCCATAGCGACTGATAAATCCCCTGGTGTTTGTAGTGAGGAGATTGAAAGACTAGAGAATCTATTAATTTGTCTTTCTGTTTAAACAAAATCACACTCTTGCTATAGCAAGTTAACCTACTTAGAAAACATACTTCTATATACTGCTCTGGCTGGAAACATTTATACTTTGTTCCTGAAAGATGTACAGAGGGTATTGGTAGTGTAACATAGCTTGTGTGACCGGAAATGGGGGAGGAGTGAAGACCTTTGTGGGAGTCAGGGGAGCAGAAGTGATAAACTCCACCACAAAATATTTGTGAACTTACTTGACAACCAAGTGATCTGTCACAGTCCAAAGGGAAAAAAGTTGCTCTTTAGAAATAGTTTTGTGAAGCCATCTTTGGCAGGGATTATTCAGGGAGCATGAATTCTTATCAAAGACACGAAAGTTTCCCCAGGCCTGTTGGAATTTTAAGAAGAGGCTCCTGCCTGCTACTTCAGGGCATCACTGGATATTTTTTTCTAAGTTATTTAAAAACTAACATAATTTATTGGATTGCTTTTATTTTGAATAATTTACATTGCTTCCAGTTATTTCAGATGAATCTGCCTGTTTCTGCATTTTCTAAGCATGTTTTAGCATACAAATGTATGCACACAGAAAAAATTAGCCATGAAATATTAACCAGACCCAACTCAGGATATTGAGAGCTAAGGATTGCACAGCAACTTTATTTCTGCCCCTTGGTGCATAGGCATTGAAGGGGGGGTTTACGTTACAGGAAAACAGAATTCAGGGCCAAATTATCACTGGCATTTGTGCAGGGTATGAGAAGTTGGGCGCAAGGAGCTCTCCCACCCCCAGTATGCTCCACGCAGGGGACAGCCTCAGGCCCTGTGCTTGGTGCAGCAGAACTGCTGCCCCATCCATATGTGCCTTCAGGAGCAAACGTTGTGCCAGCAGGGAAAGAAATGATGTTGGCTCACCACCAGCACTAGGGAGAGCAGGAAGCCTCATCCAACAGGACTGTACAGGCTGTATGGATGGGAGCTCAGCAAAAAATGGTGTCACAGGGAGTCCAGTCCCTCCTTGAGCTCCTCACAGGGACAGTACATCTTTACACTGCTCCCATCTCAGGATGTACTGAATGCAAATTACATGCATCTAACATGATAATTAAAAATGTGCACGGAGTTGAGCACCAACCCAATTTTCCACATATTTGGCTAACTCACATACCTAGCTGGATTGATTCTGGACAAAAGGTAACTGTCTGGGAATGCCACAGGCCTTTGCAGTAGTGGTTTAGAATGGAAGAGCTCTAGCATCAGAATAGCAGCAGTGCTATATAATTCAGGCATATAGTCATTATAGTGTAATTGTGGCCTTGTTCCTAAAAGTCAGCAATTATTCAGAACTAGGAAGTATCCTTTATTTATTGCTCTAGATTTCTTTCTTCCTGCTTGCACTTACCATTGATTGTTACAATCAATAGTGTTTAATTGACACTACTTTCTCTGTGTTTAAGCGGTTTATTGATAATCAACTAAACAAGGGGATATGGAATAGCTTTTCTAGTTTCGGACAATAAAACTACTGTTCTGTTATTTCTCTGTCTACCCTCCTTCCCTTCCTCTTCCCCCACTTTCTTTTGTTCTTCCATTTCCCTCCAAACTCCCTCCACTTCTCTCCTTCCTGTTTTTTAAAGATACTATTTACAGTATATATTCATTCATAAGCCGAATATTTTTGGTAAAAAAGTGACGCATCAACGAGCAAGGGTAGGCTTATAAACAGGTCTACACCAAAATTTGATGATTTTAAACTCTATGAAATCATTGAATTGACTATCTAATACATTGTTGTTTTGTTTACCTGGAGCGTCTGCAGGCATGCAGTCCCTCAGTTCCCTGTGGTCATGGTTCACCGTTCTCAGCCAATGGCGCGCCACTTTCCATAGCTCCCATTGGCTGGGAATGGCAAACTGCGGCCACTGGGAGCTGCGGGGCTCTGTGCCTGTGAACGCTCCAGGTAAACAAAACGTCCCGACTCACCAGCAGCTTACCCTGATGGGCCGGGAGCCAAAGTTTGCCAGCCCCTGAAATATAGGGTCAGCTTATGAAAGGGTCATACAGTTTTTACTATTTTTACCTATCCATCTTGGGGGGTCAGCTTATAAACGAATGGGCTAATGAACGAGTATATATGGTACCTCTTCATAAACACACTTCAGTGCTTAAACTGCTTACAAGGTGTGACAATATTTGTCCTGTTTCTTTAACTCTGTTACAGAAACCAAGCAGAACGGGGGCTTGCGAAAGTTCTAAGCAGAAGCTCTACAGTGAATTGAAAAAATACTGTGTTTTATTTGTTCTAATAAAGTTCCCTATTCAGTGTTAGATGAAAGCAATTCTTTCTGCAAGTGTCTGCCATCATTATGTGACAAGGCAAAGTGCAGAGAGAGAAGAGGATCTGACCACATCTACCATTTAAAAAAACGCTCTCCACTGACCAGTCCTAAATTCTTACAGATGGCCTCAAATTCTGTGGCATTTGACATAGCCAAAGAATCAGATAAAACAATGAGCCCATCTTGTACACTGTGATACCAGTACGAGGCAAATAGAGAAGTATAGGCAGATGAGTGTTAAATGTTATCAAAAGTAGTATGCCATAGTATTAAAATTATCTTGAATATGTGTATTTCCTTGAAAACCTTATTTTCATCAAATAGAATCAAGCTGAGCCAAAGCCTTCACAAAATTCATACAGCCAAAACTGATCCATTACTGAGCAAATATATTACTGTTAAATATCTGTGTTTAGCCCTGGCATTACATCTTGTCAATATTTGTCTTTCTACAGAGCAACAAAAAGGCAGAGCTCCTTAACCCAATGGTCAATAGTGTGCTATTAGAGGTAAGCTTTCAGTTTCTCCACAGTAGGAAAAACTTTGATAAACTCATTTTGAAGTGAAGCACACATATTTATGTCCCTATAAAGAACCATAAAAATGTAATGGTAATGGCATTGTAATTCTGTGCCATCTCATAAACAACTCCATTTTGTGTTCAGCAGTCATCCACAAATGCTGGACTAGAGCAGTAATACTAAACTTTGTCAGGATTCCTAAGAACACTGACAGAAGTGAAATGTTTTTTTTACTGTGTGTTGTAATGTATTGACTAAGCTGGGTAAACAATTAACAATGTGCGATTTATTCAGTAAGTTTAGCCTTTTTTCCTGCTCAGATATTGCCTGTGAACAGACTATGGTTATTAATCTATTCATTATTTGTGATTGTTCACATAAAACATTTGTCAAACAAATAATTTCAGCTCATGGTTAGCTTGAACCAGTTTACTGTGATTATGCCTTTCAGGAATCATTATTCACAGTTTGAGCTGCAAGGATACTCAAGTATAGTAGTTTTGCTCTTCCTTCATTGGTTGACCTAATCGTCAAACACTACAATGATCTAAAACAAGTTTTATTTTATGATTAAATTAATCTTGCCCATGATTCCACACACATACAACCACACTAAATTGCACTTGTACAAGTGTTCACAAGTGCATAAAAATAAGAGCAATCTTGTTCAAACCAAAAGTCTGTTGAAGTCAAAATGTTTGGGAATATTTTTTCTCATTCTTCACTCAGTTCTAGTTTTGACCAAGAAAGGCTCAGTAAGTTTTAGAAAGTCCCTGCATTTTACTCAGTTTTACACTCAGGCTGAGACAGAAGGAGTTCAAGAGACCATAATATCAACAGACACTGATTGGCTCATATAGGATTAAAGTTTAATATATCTGTGGCACTCACTCTTTTGCTTTGCCAACTAGCCACATATTCTCTTTAAACATAAAAATCTATACAGTACAGAATGCATATTGTTACTATGTAGCTTTAACCTAACACTGGGGACCCATTTACAAAAAAGAGCTATTATCTGAATATTCAATAGCAAATAGACTATTTTGTATTAAATGAGCAATATATTTTAAAACACTGTTGTAAAGATTCCTAGCTTTAGAGTAAAGATTATTTTTATATTTCCTCTTACTGTAGTGTAAAGATTAAAGTTGCTGGTACCTAAGTTGGCTCATTTTACTGTACCATAACTCTTGGATAAATTCCTAACAAAGCTTGAGCCATAACATTTGGATCTGAAGTTGAGGCTCACTCCATACCACAAAGTTTGGGGTATCCAGGTCTTGTATATCCATACAAAGATTTGCCATTAGTCAGCCCAGAATTACAGCATACTAAAGAAATGTGAGCAGCTGTTCTACATTGTATTAGAAATTCAGAAAATAATATACTTGTGCATTTATTCTGCAATATATGAATAATTTTAAACTCACTGATTTCAGCAGTGCTACATCCCCATGCAGTAGGTCTGAAATTAGCTCTGTGGGTGGAACGATTTTCATAGATTCATAGATGTTAAGGTCAGAAGGGACCATTATGATCATCTAGTCCAACCTCCTGCACAACACAGGCCACAGAATCTCACCCACCCACTCCTACGAAAAACCTGTCACCTATGTCTGGGCTATTGAAGTCCTCAAATCGTGGTTTAAAGACTTCAAGGAGCAGAGACTCCTCCAGCAAGTGACCCGTGCCCCATGCTACAGAGGAAGGCGAAAGACCTCCAGGGCCTCTTCCAATCTGCCCTGGAGGAAAATTCCTTCCTGACCCCAAATATGGCGATCAGCTAAACCCTGAGCATATGGCAAGATTCACTCGTTTTTGATGCTTTTTGTTGAGGAAGTTGATTCTGCTCCTGACCACACAGAGGTGTATTCCACCTACATTACACACACAACTCTCTCCAGAAGGTGATGCACAGTCAAACACAGGGGACGGCATACCTCTGTATATAATTATGCTTGCTTGCTATAAACTATTTACAAACAAGAAAAGAGTTATTATCTAAATATGTACTTGAACTTTCAGAAAGCTTTGGATAAGGTCGTTCAGCTCTTAAACTCACTAAGCAGTCATGGGATAAGAGGGAAGGTCCTTTCATGGATTAGTAGTTGATTAAAAGCTAGGAAACAAAGCATAGGAATAAATGGTCTGTTTTCACAATGGAGACAGGTAAATAGCAGGTTCCCCCAAGGATGTGTACTGAGACCTCAGTGGTTCAGCATATTCATTAATGATCTGGAAAGGGGAATGAACAGTGTGGTGGCAAAATTTGCAGACAATAACTGTCTTAATTTTATAAGTCCAAAGCTGACCGCAGAGAGTTACAAAGGGATCGCACAAAACTGGGTGACTTGCAGATGACAAGATGGCAGATGAAATTCAGTGTTGATAAGTACAAAGTAATACACATTGAAAAACAATCCCAACTATATGTACAAAATGATGGGGTCTAAATGAGCTGTTACCACTCAAAGATTTTGGAATCATTATGGTTAGTTCTCGGAAAACATCCATTCAATGTGTAACAGCAGTCAGAAAAGCTAACAGAATGTTAGGAACCATTAGGAAAAGGATATATGATAGAACAGTAAATATCATAATGCTACTATATAAATCCGTGGTATGCCCACACCTTGAATACTGCATGCAATTCTGGTCACCCCATCTCAAAAGAGATATAAGAATTCAAAAAGGTACAGAGAATGGCGACAAAAATGATTCGGAGTATGGAACATCTTCCATAGAAGGAGAGATTAAAAGGACTGAGACTGTTCATCTGAGAAAAGAGACAAGTAAGGGGGGACTGAAAGAGGTCTATAAAATCATGAATGTTATGCAGAAAACATAAAGTATTATTTAGCCCCTTTGCATATCACAAGAACTAGGGGTCACTCAATGAAATTAATAGGCATCTGGTTTAATACAAACGCAGGGAAGTACTTCTTCACACAATGCACAGTCAAACTGTGAAACTCATTACCAGAGGATGTTGTGAAAGCCAAAAGTATAACCAGCGTTCAAAAAGGAATTTGATAAATTCACAGAAGATAAATCCATCAATGGCTACCAGCCAAGATGGTCACGAGTGCAACCCCATGCTCTGGGTGTCCCTAAACCTCCAGCTGCCAGAAGTTGGGACTGGAGGACAGGGGATAGATCACTTGTAATTGCCCTCTTCTGTTCATTCACTCTGAAGCATCTGGCATTCGCCCCTGTAGGAGACAGGATAATGGGCTAGATGGACCAATGGTCTGACTCTGTATGTCTGTTCTTGTTGTGATTTCCAGTGTACTTGGATAGAGCTTTTAAAATCTCACATGAATTTGTATCCTGATGTAGCACCAACCAGACTGAGTATGAATAGAGTCACTGAGGTACATGAAAAATATGTTACTGAATCACATCTTTTCTCTCATTAGGGCTGCAACAGCACTACTTATATTCAGGATGCTTTCCAGCTATTGCTTCCGGTTCTTCAGATTTCACATATCCAGACCGATTGTTTGAAAGCACAAGAGTGACAGTTTCCCAGCAGTTGTCATCACTGTGTGTAAAAGAAACCACAAACCTAATCTCTTTAATGTATGCAGTTTGAAGAGATGGCACAAAAGATGTCTGGCCACTGAAGGGCCTTTTGAGGACAATAAAAGCCGTTTTGCACATGCAGTACTGAAAAACATTTGAGAAAAATCAAATAGAAGTTCTTTAACTAGATGTAGTTACTAGAATAGGTAATTTCTTTTCAAGTTAGTATATATTCTTCACATTAATTTAAACTGATGAAGTGTTTATTGAAGTTAGTATCGACTTCAATATGAAGGAGGTAATTAATGTTGACACTTTCAATTCTAAACAGTGATGTCTGAAGGAAATTTGAAAACAATGTTTTTTAAACATTTTGGACCTGATGCACCATTTCATTTTAATTCTCAGTTTAAAATGTTTACTTTTGAAAGTTAGTTTCTGTATTTAACCTTCATTAACTCTCAAGTTAACTTAAGCAAATGAACTCTGTTTTGAGCATTCCAGTATTATTTCTTCAGTGACAGTCTGATAGTAGTCCTTAGCACTCATACCGTGCTTTTGGTGTTCAAAGAGCTGTACAACATTAAGCAAACTTAAGCTAATGAAAATTATGAAAAATATGCATATCAGACAATATAGTGACGTGAAATTGTCTGAGCCAGTTAGAGCGTAGGCAAAACTGTACACGTGCTAACCCATAATTGTATACTTACTGTATTTATGCCAGTCCCTTCACTCTGGCCGAAAGACATTAAAGACCAGAGTAGAGGGATTTGTAGAGTAATCATATAGTTATTTCACAACTACACAGTAAATCAGAAAATACCTTCACTTTGGTTGACAGAACTCCCAATCTGTGTGCCCATAACAAACAAATTGCCTCATCTTCTCAGCCTTCTCCCCAATCTATCATTTCACCTAAATCTGGACTTTAAATACAGGTTTTTTTTAATAAAATGGATTACTGCTAGGGAGGGATTGGAACTAAGTTTTCCTATAAGGGTCAAAGAGGAGGAGAAGGAGTTATGAGAAGGTTGAGTTGGGTGGAGTGACAATGTGGGGAGGTCACAAGTTGAAGCATGTTGTGGGAATATGGAAGAGGAATTCTGTGCACAGAGCCAACCTGAGAGGGTGGAAAGCACATTTCAGTATAACAGTAATTTAAGGGTTCTTGTGTTAAATTTGGTGATATCCATATTTGGGCTTAATAAATTTGCAGTCTTCAGCCTCAGGGTTTATTTTGCCCAGGTTAAAATTATCTCATGACAATACAAACCTTCAATTATTTAAGTAGCCGGTTCTCCTGAATTGTCTGTGTTTATTACATTTTTCTAATGTAATTAGAATTTAACTAATATAACTGTAATTCATATTGATATAGTGATGAGCTCTATTTAAATATTGTAAAATTGTAGCTAACATCTGAATGTATTTAATCGTTGAAGCAATGTGTTCACACATCATAAACATAATCCGAATAGAATACTAGGAAATGTTATAATTGTATTTGTTAGAAATGAGAAGTCATCTATCTGCGTAGGCATGGTAACTGTAGGGAGCCTAAATAAGAGATGACAGAAAGCAGGTCTGTGTCTCTGCCTTACATAATGAGGTCCATGTTCTGCTGTTATCTGTGTAGTGACTCTGTTTAATATTTCATCATTTAGATGGGAGATACTCATTATGTAGTTCTGTGGTTTGTTATGCACAATTTCTGTTCTGCCTGTGCAGCTGAACTTGGTAAGCTAAACCTGACATTCATTGTTACTTACACCATCTTGAAATAATAGCCCAATATGAAACAGAGGAGCACTTGGGAAAGTGTAGAAAAGCTACTGTAAACTGGTAGGCAAATTTACTGGCTGGGAAGCTGAATAAAGCTCTCAACAGTAGCCCTCTTTACTCAAGGCTTGTTTTATTTCCAAATACTAGTCCCAAAACAAAAGCAAATAAATTCGAAATATTAGGTATTAACTGCCCAAATTTTTCCCAGCCTCAACCAGTTGGGAAGGGAGAGGACACATCCTTCCCCTTTGATAGCCCCACGTAGCTACTACAGAGAGACCCACACTAAGACTTCCTAGAACCTAGGTTTCTCCTTTTTGTTCCCCTGCCCCAGAGAGAAGAAGCTTTGTACTTCATTTCCATATACCAGGTCACATGTTTTCTTCTAGTCATGTGCCCTGCACCTGCAGCTCCCAGTTTTAAAGGGCACAAGTCCACAAGGGGTTCACTGGGATATGCGCATGCCTCCAAGGCCTAGTGCCTTGCTACAGGTACCTCGTTATTTAAAGTAATATTTTTGTTTAATCACAATGTTGTCAAACCAGTATACAGTGCATGATTAAAACCCTGTTTTCATTTTAAAGAGAGAGTATCACAAAAGGAAAAGTGCCTTTATTTATCAGTTATTACGTTTTAGAAGTTATTGACTTTAAATTAGTTTGACCATTAATTATAGTTGAGAAAAGCCTTTCAGTCCAAACCAGACATATCAGAATTGTGCATTCGGTATGGGTAAGTGTGTTATTGCTGTCAAATGAATTGTTACTAAGGAATAGTTATGGCAGTTTCATATTACCCCTATGCAGAGGTTAATCTTTTTGGATTTAAAATTGGGCAAGTGTCTCAGGTTTCCTCTGGGGTCCAGAGCAAGATACATATAGTTGAACCTGACAAGGAAACAGTGAAGGGGACAGCAAAAATCGGTTGTCTAATAATAATAAAAATGTTCTTTTAACTAAAGGTTGAACAGAATTGTATGGGAAACCCTAGGGGATACTGTAAGGAGCTGTTGAGGGAAATTATTTGAGACAGGGGATTTCTTATTTAAGGTGGTTTTTAGAACAGGTTTCACTGTATTACTTAAATTATGCATGTAGTGTATCAGTGCTTTGACCTTAAGTGAAAATAATTTTTTTAAAAAAGAAAACTATATATGAAATTCCTTGTAAAATCTGCACACGGAAAATCTCAAACTACTAAACCCTAAATACTTAATTTAAAAAAATCGTGTTTATGAAAGTCACTTATACTCATGGACAAACCAATTTTTCATATTGTGGAACATGATATTTGGTTGTTGAGTAATGATTCACTTTTACTATCCAGAGATGAAGGCTTCAGAATAAGCTAGGCTTTTACGTGCACTAGGTTGAAATAGTGTTTGGGCTGGAATGTCTGCACATTTGCAAACCTGCAAATAATCCCAGCTATTTCAGGAGACTGCTTCTAGCTCATATTTTAGTTGGGTTTCAAACTATTTGACAGGGCATTTTTTATATGTCTGTATCAAAAGTATTTGCATTTTTTTTCCAAAATGGAAAAAAGAAAGGTATAATTTATTTGTTGCTGCTATTTGCTGTTCAATTATAAATGGCTTTTCTCAGTGATTGACTCCTGCATCCACTGCCTAATACAGTTGAACAAAGGAACTGCCACTTCCACTTTTTTGAAGTCCCTTAGATTAGCCACTGATTATCTTTTTCTAAATTGTAAAACATACCTCTTTCTTTTTTACTTGTAATAGATGATTGCAGCCAGCAGCATTTCCGATGTTTTATTAATGATGCCAGTGTCATCAACAGGTCAGGCTTCATAACCGCTTTAATGAGTCTGAAAGGTAGACGAGTCCTGTTTTGACACATTAGAGAACTTTTACCTTTGTCTGACTCACAGAAGCACTTTTTATCACATGAACAGTCACCCACTAGTAGTAGTATTTATGAGCCATTCTATTTTTAATTCAAAATGACAGCCCTGTCTCTTCTGTTGGTCTCAAAGGAATGGAAAGACTGGGTAAGGACTTTTCTGAGATCTTTTTAAAGCCATCTCAGAGCAAGGCTTAAAGTGACACTGTCAACTAATTTGACCTACTTGGAAATGGTTGCGATCTGACTGGAAAGCCCTCTGGACTTTAAACAAGTATATTTCTTTTTTGCCTAAAAATCAAATTCTGCTACTGAGAATATGAGGACTAAAATAACCACTCTTATCATAGGCCCTATGTATTTGCATTATTTTGATACCTGACTCAGCATATCAACAATATTGCTGTAACTGTCATGGTTGTTGATGATTGTGCATAAATGTGGAATTAAAATGCAAATAGTCATTATTTCAGCTGTATTCACAAGCCAGGCAGGGAGAAAAAAGGACATGATCTGTGGCAAAGGGGAGATTTATTTATTTTTTTAAGGTCTGATGACAGTACCAGAAGAGACTTTTTTTTTTAAGTGCTGAACATTGTTCAAAATAATGAAGAGATGATATCGAATTAGTTCCAGCAGGATCTGAGTCACAGTCTTTCTGAAGTAAAACAAAAATTAAGCATGAAGAAGATGAGGCAAAGATCAGAACATTCAAAGAAATAAAACACAAAGGAATGAGGGCAGTTACTTTGAAAGAACTGATCAAACTCGATCTGCAGTGCTCACTTCCCCCTATTGTATTTACTTCCAGCCCTTCACTCTGAAGTGCAGACCTGCTAAAAAATCAGCAATAGAGGAGTTTCCCCACTTTGATTGTGTCCCATTACCATCATTGGAGAAGATTCACTAATGGAGTTGAGGTCTATTCATTCCAGTTTTTAATTGTTTCCCCCCAGCCCAGAACTTAATGAGACTATTCCCTATGTAACATCATAGTAAAGTGCATAAACTGTAGAAAACAAAACAAACCCCCTAATAACGGCTAACTGTAACTCTATGAATGAAAGCTGCTGCTGCTGAAAAGGGGAAGCATGAGGACACTACGCCCAAGTAAATGACAGGTCGTTCTCTTGTGCATGACAGAGTGGAGGCACATTTGGCTCATAGGTTTCAGAGTAGCAGCCGCGTTAGTCTGTATTCGCAAAAGGAAAAGGAGTACTTGTGGCACCTTAGAGACTAACCAATTTATTTGAGCATAAGCTTTCATGAGCTACAGCTCACTTCATCAGATGAAATTAAGTTCTCAATAGATTCCAAAGCCAGAAGGGACCACTGAGATCATCTAGCCTGACCTGTATAACACAGGCCATAGAACTTTCCCAAAATAATTCTTACAGCAGATCTCCTGGAAAAACCATCCAATCCTGACTTTAACATTGCCTGTGATAGAGAATCCACCACAACCCTTGGTAAGTTGTTCAAGTGGTTAATTACCCTCACTGTTAAAAATTTACATCTTATTTCCAAGCTGAATGTGTCTAGTTTTGACTTCCCGCCATTGGAGTGTTCTGTACCTTTCTCTGCTAGACAGAAAAGCCCATTATCCCATATTTGTTTCCCATGTAGGTACTTAACAGACTAATCAAGTTACCCCTTCACTGCCTCTTTGTTAAGGTAAATAGATTGAGCTCCCTGAGTCTGTCACTAGAAAACTGGTTTTCTAATCCTTTAATCAGTCTCATGGCTCTTCTCTGAACGCTGTCCAACTTATCAGCATCCTTCTTGAATTGTTGACACCAGAACTGGACACAGTATTCCAGCATCAGCCACACCAATGCCAAATACAGAGGTAAAATGACCTCTCTACTATTACTTGAGAATCCCCTGTTTATGACTGCAAGAACCTTTCAGTCACAGAGTCACACTGGAAGCTCATGTTCAGCTGATTATCCACCATGACCCCAAAATCTTTTTCAGAGTCTCTGCTTCCCAAGATACAGTCCCCCACCATGTAAGTGTTGTCTGCATTCTTTGTTCCTACATGTACACCTTTACACTTAGCCATATTAAAATACATATTGTTTGCTTGTGCCCAGTTTACCAAGTGATCCAGATGGCTCTGTATCAATTGCCTGTCCTCTTTGTTATTTAGCACTCCTCCAATTTGTTTGTCATCTGCAAACTTTTATCAGTGATGATTTTATGTTTTCTGCCAGGTCATTGATAAAATTGTTAAATGGCATCAGCCCAAAAACCCCTCCCTTTGGAACCCCACTAGAAACAAACCTGCTCAGTGATAATATATTTGTAAACGGAATTACGAGACCTATCGGTTAGCCAGATTTTTATCCATTTATTATGTGCCCATAACGTGGTGCATTCACCTCTCATGAGCACCTCGTATCAGCTGGGTATGATCCCATCCTCTCTCTGGTGTCCCGTGTAGTTTGTTACCCTCATCAGGCAGGTCTTCAGTGGCTAAGCTCTCCAGTTAAGTCACACATCGTCTAAATGGATGACCCCTTTCCAGGATAACAAAGGTCCAAAAAAGGACTATCGCTGTGCCCTTGTTGGTATCTGCAGCCCTGTCTCTGGGCTCAGTTCTCAGCCCCTTCTGTACTAGCTTTAAGTCCATCTCTGCCCTGTTATAGAGCAGTGCCACCAGGGTTTCCTCCCTGGAGACTCTTTGTCCTCAGTGGTTCTCTGGTGTCCCAGCAATCCAGCCAGCTCACTCCTTAAATTCAGTCCTCTTCCCTCTGACTGTTCCCTGTTTGAGCAGGGTCTCACCCAAGCAACCTTGCCTGAAGAGACTCTGTCCTGTCTCTATTTGAGCAACGTCTCTCCCATACGTCCTTGCCTTTAGAGTTCCTCTCTCCTATCCCTACTGGTCCCACCCATGAATTGACCTGTGTGACGAAGTGGGACTGTTCTTAATGTTTCCTCTGAATACTGTAGGGGTGCCTCAGTTTCCCCTATGCATTTCTTAAGTCTCTAGGTGGTGGGATAAGGGGGTGTAATTGTTGCAGAGCAAAGGGCCAGTGTACATAAATGGCCGACACTCTGTCTCCTGGCAACTGATGGCCTGGGCCCTTCCCCCCTGCAAGGTGAGAGCTAAAGGGTTGGAGAACAAAGGAATCAGGTGACCTCCTGGCCCGGGAAAGGGACAAAGCCTAGAGGAGGAGGGGGTGGAGGATGAGTCAGTTTGGGCTGGCTTGGGACGTGGCGTGAAGTGCAGACGTGGTTGTCTGGCTCACTGCCCCCCAAAATGGACCCGGTTGAGAGATCCTGTTCTCTGTACCTAAAGCTCTGTTTTAGACCATGTTCCTGTCATCTAATAAACCTCTGTTTTACTGGCTGGCTGAGAGTCACGTCTGACTGCGAAGTTGGGGTACAGGACCCTCTGGCTTCCCCAGGACCCTGCCTGGGTGGACTTGCTGTGGGAAGCGCACCGAGGGGCAGAGGATGTGAATGCTCAGAGGTCAGACCCAGGAAGGTGGAAGCTGTGACCTTTTTGCCTTAAAGACAATCTGCTCACAGAGAGGAGACTTCACCAGAGTCCTGACTGGCTTCGTAGGGAGCAGTTCCAGAGCATCGCCCGGGGACTCCGTGACAACCTGCTCAGGCCCTGCAATTCCTTTTAACTAAGCCTGCTGCACTCTGACTGGCTGCTTCCCTGCTGTTTTCCTGGGGTAGGGTGTGATAGGACCTCCAGCAGGGGTCCACAAAGGCCATAACCCCATCATAGTGCCATGTTAATTTTATATCATTCTAGTCTTTTTAATCAAAATGTAAGGTACAAAGTCAAACAACTTACAGAAGCCTTAGTCTTTTACATCAACACTGTTACATTTATCAACCAAACTTGTAATCATTAAAAAAAAATCATATTAATTTGATAGGATCTATTTTGCATAAACAGATGTTGATTGGCATTAATATTACCCTCCTTTATGTAGGATTCATATGGGGTTCATGCACTTGGCAACATTCAGGGTACACCCGGAGTGTTGTGTAGGAGCAGTGCACACACGGCTCATCTCAAGGGCATGAACCTTGGAATCTCGCCCAGATGACATGAACCGTGGGAAGCCTCCCAGGACTGGGCTCAAGGCTCGAGAGCAAGGAATGCGGTAGATAGATATTGGTAAATAAGAATATTATACAAAGCCAGTGTATTCCTTTTATCTGTTGGAGTATGTAATGCGCGGGGGGAGAGAAAGAAATAAAAGAGAGGGTGGAAAAGCTGACAGGCGGACCAGCCCGTTGGCAGACCAGCCTGCTTGCTTGCTTAAAGCCTTGCTGTCTTGTATTTGGACCGCAACACTTTAATTCTTTATTAATTGAGTCCCGTATCAGCCACTCTATTATCTTGCCAGGGATTGATGTCAGACTGACAGGCCTACAATTACCAGGGTCATCCCATTTACCCCTTTTAAATATTGGCACACCATAAGCTTTCTTCCAGTCTTCTGGACCTTCCTCAGTGTTCCAAGATTTATTGAAAATCAGCATTAATGGTCCAATAAGCTCCTCAGCCAGATTTTTGAAAACTCTTGCTTGCAAGCTTTCTAGGCCTTATGGTTTAAAAATGTCTGTCTACCTTTAGTAGCTGCTGTTTAACATCCTCCTGAAATACTAGTGGAATAGAAACAGTGTTATCATCTTATGATGAAACTACATCATTGGTTTTTTTTCCCAAATACAGAACAGAAATATTTATTGGACACTTCTGCCTTTTCTGCATTATTGATAATTCTATCATTCCCGTCTAGTAATGGATCAATACTTTAGTTAAGAAGTTTTTTGTTCCTAATATACTTTAAAAACTCCTTATTGTCCTTAACTCTGTTGGCCATAGATTTCTCCTTGTATCCTTTTGCATCTCTTATCAGTTTCCTACAGTTCTTCTTCGAGTGCTTGCTCATGTCCATTCAACTTAGGTGTGTGTGCCCGCCAGTGCCAGAAGTTTTTCCCTCAGCAGTATCTGTAGTGGACCAGCTCCAGTGCCCCCTGGAATAGCACACACTTGCTGCGGTATATAGGGCACCACCGGTTCCCCACACCCTCAGTTCCTTCTTGCCACCAGTGATGGTGCTGGAACTGTTGCTGCTTCAGCTAGTGTTGTTGCTGCTCGTTCATATGAACTAGTTATCTCTTGTATTATAGTGTATATCATTTTCTGTAGTGTTTATAAATCCCTTAGCTATAGTTAGAGACTTGGTTCATCCCAAACGTGACTTTGCCTTGGGACGGGGCATACCCCAGTTCCCAGGCTTTAAGCCCTGTTATTGCTGCAAGAGGCCCATGCCCGTTAGTGATCCACGCAGCAGTTGTCTGCATTGCTTGGGCGAAGGACACGTTAGTGAAAAGTGCAAAATTTGCAAGTCCTTCAAGCC